TGATGAAGGGTCTAGGCCCGAAACGTCAGCCTATCTGCTCCTATGATGCTGCTTGGCCTGCTGTGTTCATCCAGCCCTGCACCTTGTTGTCTCCACCATTAGTGGCTATGTCTTAGCTGTGTGGGCCCTCATCTCTGGAATTTCCTCAAACGACTGTTTCCTCATTTAAGAGCCTATTTAAAAGTGACCTCTGTCCAAGCTTTTAGCCACAAGTACTAATATCTCCTGATGTGGTTTGGTGCAAAATTTTCCTTCATAATACTTCTATGAAGCAACTTGAGATGTTTTATGATACTAAAGGTGCTATTTAAAAACATATTTTAGTTTTGTATATATTAGAAGTTCTGATTACAGTTCGTACCCTGCAACAACCAAATGCCATTACGAGATTACATTAAATGAATGTTAGAGAAAGATTGACCTGAATGGTCAGTTTGAACAATTTCAATGTTGCAAGGAGAGAGACCCTGTTAAAATTTGATTCTATTAAATTGTGGAGGCAAATGCATAGTCACTGGATAAAACTTCATGAAATTGAACTGAATAAATGGAGTTTAAAATATTCACTTCCGTCATGAATCTCTCTCTTTTGCATGGAATCACAGAAAGAAGGACATTTGACCCATTATGTCTGCATCAACTCTCTAAATGAGATTATGACTTAATGCCATTCTCCTGCCTTTTCTCTGAAGTCTGCATAATGTTTTTATTCAAATAACCAGCCAGTGCCCTCTTGAAAGCATCAATTAAACCTCCTTCCAAAACGTATCCAGATACTGCATTCCATATTGTAACTACTCACTGTGTGAAAATGTTTTTCTCATGTAATATTTGCTTCTCTTGCATATTTAAATCTGTGTCCTCTTGTTCTCATTTTATTTCATTCTGATGAATTCTTGGGCTCCAATTATTGTGATTTTTATTCAGTTGGCAGACCTGGTTTTCCCTCTGCTGCATGGAGAAGGAATCCTTGGTGAAACTATCATCTCAAACTGGATTTTACACATTCATTGTTGAAAGATGATTATAAAGAGATTAAAGCCAACAGAATTGCCAATTTGGTTTGTCCTGGCTAGATAAATATGTGTTAGAACACAGAATGGTATAGCACAGGTACAAGCCCTTTGGCCCACCATATCTGTGCCAACTGTGATGCCATTCTAAATGAACACCATCTGCCTGCAAATGGTCTGTATCCCTCTAATCCCTGCGTATTCATGCATCTGTCTAAATACCTCTTAAACATTGCTATCATACCTGCTTTTACCACCTCCGCTACTAGCATGTTACAGGCAACTACCACACTGTAAAAAAAAGACTTTTCTCACACATATCCATTAAACTTTATCCTTCTCACCTTAAACCAAATGCCATTTAGTATTTGACATTTTCATGCTGGGAAAAAGACTTCGACTATCCACCTTATCCATGCATCTCAATTCAAAATATTACTATTGGGTCGCCTTCTCAGCTCTGATCTGATGCTCTAGCAAAAACAATCCAAGTTTGTTCACCATCTCCTTATCACTTGTACACTCTGATCCAGGCAACATCCTGGTAAATCTCTTTTACAACCTCTCCAAAGTCTCCACATGCTTCCTATGGTGTGGCGACCAGAACTACATGCAATATTCCAAACGTGGCCTAACTAAAGTTTTATTCAGCTGCAGCTTGACTTACCAATGTTTTTTATTCAATGTCTTGACTAATAAAGGTAAATATGCCATACGCCTTTATTACCACCTTATCCATTTGTCATTTTCAAATGGAACTCAAACAAATCACCAGTGACCCCAGTGAACAAATCATGAGATGGAGTTTGTTCATATTTTTACAGGATTTCCTGCACAAGGAAGTTACTTATTTTGGTAATGATTTTCTTAAAAAATTGAATTGCTGAATTTTAAATGGGGTAATTGTTTACAGAGCATTTTATTTCTTATCATGGTATCATACAACAAGACAGAAGGAGGTCATTCAGCCCTCTTGTCTGTGCCTGCTGTCTACACAAATAATTCCTCTAGTCCAACATCCTTGTTTTTTCACTGTAGTTCTGCAATTATTTTCTCTTCAGATAATTATCCAATTCTCTTTTGAAAACTGTAACTGAATCAACCTCCACCACATTCTCAGGCAGCGAATTTTGGATACTAATCACTTGCTGTGTAGACATTATTTTCCCTCTCATGTCACCATTGCTTTTTTTGCTAATTACTTTGAATCAGTGACCTTTGATTCTCAACCCTTCTGCAAGTGAGGAACAGTTTCTCCCTATTTACTGTGTCCAGACCTCTTGTGATTTTCAATACCACAATCAAAACTCTTCTTAATCTCATCTCTTCCTCCATCCCAACAGTCAGCTGACAAGACAATCCTTTATGCTGTATCTTCGATCCTGGTGAACTGCACAAACAGTTATGATGTCAAGGAGAAAATCCCAGAGCTGGTCGAGTTGGCAAAATTGTCAAAACAGCATGTACCTGAAGACCATCCAAAGGTAAAACAAAGCAAGATTTACATTTATATAGTACCTTTCTTGACTTCAACTATCACAAAGCACTTTACAACCAATTTGTACCCAGCAAATTCCCAAAAGCAGCATTGGACAAACTTGCTTTTACTGATATTGTTTGAGATAAATATTAGATCCATGAGATCTTTTGAGTTCACCTGAGGTGGCAAGTGAGCCTCCAGTTAATCATTTCATTTGAAAGATGGCATCTCTGACAGTGCAGCACTCCTAGAGTACTGGACTAGGAGTGTAGCCTTGATTTTCTGCTCCAGTCTCTAGAGTGGGACTTGAGAGCTTTGATCTGGAGGTATAAGTATAACCTTCTGAATCCTAGTACATATCTGTCTTTGTTTGCATGATCTTACACTCAGGTACAGTTTGACACTGATTATCGTTCACTGTTTGGGTGCACACAGTCAAAACATTAAATTATAAAACATCCCTTCCAATCTTATCTCCCACACACTCCCCTCAATTTTCATGCCCCATCCATGCCAACCTATCCCCCTGTATCCACCCCCTTATGTCTCCATGCCAATCTATATATCTCCCATGTTCCCTCATATCCCACTTATGTCCAAACACCCCCAAGACCCTTTAAGGTCTGTATGCCACTTCAGTGCAAACTCATATATCCCACTCAACATCTTTTGCTTTTCCCTCTCCATGTCAACTCACCAATTATCCAGCGTGGAGATAACTTTAACTTCTGTCAGAATGCTTCTTAAGGTATCAGTCTATCGATGATGTTGCTATTAAAAAAAAAAGGGACACCTTCATTGATACAAAAAAATCCAATGCCATAAAATTGCTTTAATTGATGCCTTATGAAAAGAGGCATTTTATTTTAAGCACTCAATGATGTATGTAAACAAACATTTCACTCATGTTTTACCCTTAAGTTCTTAATCATTTATGTCAATAAATAACCCACTTGGAGCTATCCATCATTAGGCATCCTTTATGAAATGCCACTTTGGGAAATTAGTCAGCAGCACAAATACTGTAATAGTTTTATGTGATAGGCTGGCTTAGATACCAAGTACCAAGTTTTGTAATTCTCACCCAGTTTTGCTGGAGCCAGTTCCTTGTCGACTTTGCTAGCCCCAATGAGTTCATGCATTCTTTTCACACAAGCATGCCTTTTTCACAATCCCTTTACCTCCACTTGAGGCATCCTGGGACCAGGTTCAAAAGCGGTGCCCTTTCTCTTCAAACTGTGGGAAATATGAAACATTCCTCCAGCCCTCACTGTTCACATCCCCACACCATACTCTCCCCATGTCACAATCTGCCCGTCTACCCATCCTCATGGCTCCTTACTCCATTACTCCCTATGCCCACCTGCCATGAATACCCCCTTCACCCACATTGTCTCCAAGCTTTGTGGCTGTGCACACTCCAAAGTTCTGTGCTTGGCGATCGGTATGCAGCATTGACTTCTGGTTCTAAAAGCTGTTGCTGCTCCCAAACCTCAGAGGACCACACAGCTGGAAAGTTAATTTGAGGGTACACTGTCCTTCACCAACAATACCGACTGATTGAATATCCATGAGTATCATTGCTTATAGGAAACAAAATGTGGAAATGAAACAGTTAAATCAGATCCCCTTTCCTCAATGACTTGGTTTAAATTTCAACCAAGGGATTTGCTATTGTCTACCTCAATCTCACCTTCACTGGTCAGCATATACATTGGAACTCCTATAGTTCCATGTGCTTAAAAGATTGGCCTTATTAGCAAACTCATAGATAGGACCCCTGCTAGTTCACTGTGCAAACCTGATGTTAAAATAGACCACATCAAAACCATCCTGCAAGATAATGGCTATCCTTAGCAGATCATTTCAGGCTGTACATCACACAAGCTGAAGAAGGGCCTTAAGGCAACTCTTGGACTGAAAAGTGACCAGTCTACCTCAGATTATCCTGGAAGGGAAAGGTAGCTCAAAAGTTTGAGCAAATGTTGAAGCTAACCCATTTCACATTGTATCTAGGCAATAACAACACAGATGGTGTTTGCCACTAACAGGATCTTGCCATCAAGTCAAAAAGATTTCTGTCTATCACACAGATGAGTAATGTGGTATATGAATTTCAGTGTCATTGTGATTTCAGGTTAGTAGACGATACATCAAAAGACTGTGGATCATACCAATTAGCATATCCCTTCATCTGTTTGCCACTCAAGGTACTAACTATACCTTACCAGCTCACACTTCCAAAACTCACAACACAGTGCTTAACATTAGATGGAATTCCATAATTGGGCAACTTTTAGTGAATAATTCTGAATGTGTGAGAGCTTACACTGACAGCCAATTTAGGATGGTTAGTCAGTCACTAATGTGTGCTGGAAAATACATTTATTAATACACAGACAGAAAGATCATGCTGTGCCTATTTCCACTCAACAAAATAGGTGACAACCATGTACTACTTAATTTCTGAGGTCAATGCCCTGCTTACAGTCAAGCTGTCTTTAAAATTTAAACAAAGCCTGGCTGTTAACTGTCAGTCAGCATTAATGGGTGCATTCACCATGGCAACACCTCTACCAATCAGAGTCCACTTGACAACCAATCAGTACTCTGCTGTTTAAATATTGCTCTTTCCCTTGAATCAATAGTCCTGCGACGTGTCTTAATGAGTGCAAGATGAAAAGTTTTGATTAATGTATTTTTTCAAGCAAAAGAGAATAGTTATTTTATATCAACTTCCATATTGCAATTAACATTCTATGGAGTAAAGCAATCTCATTCACAAAAACACATTTGACACTTCTTGACATCGATTACACTCCTACATACTTCTCGACAGGTTTTGTCATGTTGCACATTTCCAAAAGGTTTGTGGGCCTTTTATACTCAATCCTCTCCACATATAACAATCCCAAAGAACACATGAACCTTCTACACCCCAAATATCCCTGACCCTCTCACCAAAAAAATTCCTGAACCAGTATTGTGGGACCATTTTCAGAGAGGAACCCCAGATCTCCAGGACCCTGGCAATCCAAAAGCAATGTGTGGAGAACAGATTTCTTTCTACCTGGTCTAATCTTTGAAATCTGATAAGAGTCGTAGAGTCATACAGTATGGAAACAGGCCCTTCAGTCCAACTAATCCATGTTGATCACATCCCCAAACTAAACTAGTCCCATTTGCCAGCATTTGGCCCATACCCTTCTAAACCTTTTCTATTCATGTGCTTATCCAAATGTCTTTTAAATGTTGTAACTGTACCTGCATCTACCATTTCGTCCGGCAGGTCATTCCGCAGACAAACCACTCTGTGTGTACAAAACATTGTCCCTCATGTTCTTTTTAAAACTTTCTCTCCTCGCCTTAAAAATATGCCAGCTAGTTTTGAATCCCCTCCCACACCTAGGTGATCTTGATGGAGGTAGGTTAATCATTTCCCCCAGGAACTGTGAATGCTTGACCGTTAGCCTGGACTTCCCAATTCCACCCCAATGAATATGAGAAATGCTGTGTTTGTAAGTTTGGCATTCCCTATGTCTTCTGGCATTTTCACCACACAGAGACCTCTCTGTCATAGTGAAAATCAGGGCCTAATTCATAATGGGTTGAAGGAGAGAAAAAAAGTTGTAAAAAAATTTTAGATTTGAATTGATGACCACTGATGTTGTTACAGGATAAAAAAGACTTTGTGATGATGCGTGTCAAGCGTTTGATCAAAGCTGGCATTGTCTCTGCCCTTGCTGTCATGCTGAAGGCAGACAGTGCCATTCTAACAGACCAGACCAAGGAGCTTATGGCTAGGTAAGGTGTATGTTTCAGTTTGGCCAAAGATTTAAAGGGAAGAAACACAGTTAAACCTAAATAGGCGGATTGAGCCTCAATTTAAAGCATGTCCTGAATGATAAAATCTCCGATTGCACAGCACTCCCTCTGTATTGCACCAAAGCATCAGGCTGGTTTATGTACCTTCACACTGCAATGAGGTGTGAACACTTGGCATTTTAACTCAGAGGCTAGGTGTGCCATCACTGAACCAGGCCGGCGCATCAGTACTATTAAGCAATATAGCGTACAACCAGTTACAGTTACCTGTTTCTATTGCCAGGTCCCAGGGACATTCTATTAAAGAAAGACTTGCATTTATGTAGCACCTGTTATAATCTCAGGACATGTCAAAGTTCCTTTGTGATTTTGTTGAGGGATGCATATTAACCAGGAGACCATGGATAAATCCAAGGCTTTTCTTCAAAATAGTGGTCCTGGGATTATTCACATCCACTTGACAGTGCAGACAGAACTTTGGTTTGGCTTATCTGGAAACCAGTACCACTAACAATGCAGCACTCCCTCAGTACTGCCCACTGGATTTTAGCTTGAATCTCTGGGTTGGGGCTTCCTGACTCAGAGGTGAGGGCACTGCATACAGACCTATTGATGGCATTTCAAAGGTATGCAACCAGCCACACTGTATCCTGTGTAATGCACCACCATTGTTATATAACTGAATTCTATTTTCACTTTATAAAAAAAAGACTTTAAAAGAATACCTCAGTATTATACCTTTCTCTAAACTGAATCTAATTCCAATTTGGTTCTTTAGGGTGTTCCTTGCATTGGTTGAAGATGTTAGAGATCGTGGCAAAGTTGTGGCACAAGGTGGTGGAAAGGTAATTACATGAGTTGGTATCAAACTTCCAGCAGAGAAACAGGCCGTTTGACCCAACTGTTCTATCCTGGGCCCTCACTTGACTTTATTTCATCCTATCAGCAAGTCCTCAATTCCTTTCCCCATCGTATGACTTTTCAGTTTCTCCTTAAATTTTTCAGCTCAACCATTCAGTGTGGTGATGGCTTCCATATTGTCGTCGCTTTCTGGGTTAAGAAATTTCTATTGAAGTTGTTAGTTACTATCTGATATTATCCTAGTTTTAGTCTCCTCCATCAGTAGAAGCCTATTCTCCATGACCATTCTGTTGAATCTCTGTGATATCTTACAGACTTTTATCTGATAACACATTAGACTATTACTTTCTGAGGAAAAAGTAATCCCAGCTTTTTCAATCTTTCCTGCGAAGTATAAACTCTTGTTTCTGAAACCATTGTTAAATGTGGTGCATTGGCGTAAATCTTTGAAGATAAACATTACATTGCACACGATTAAAATTGCATAGAATGAGTATTGAGAGTAGGTATAACAATGATAGCTGTATGTGTTCACAGTGACGATCGTGAGGGTGTAACCAGATTGAGTCATATGTGCATATAGATGGTAATGAATAATTAATTAGAGAAATTGTGAATAATTAATTATCAATAATTAATTGATGATTACATTACACGTGGTTAAAGTCTTAGCTCAGTGCTCCATAGCTAAGCACAACTAATCATACATTTTCAACCTAACTTTAATAATCAATGCACATAACAGCCTAATAATAACCAGGAGCAGCAGAAGGCCATTCAGCCCTTTGAGTCTGCTCTGCCATTTGATACAATCGTGGCTGATCTTATCTTGGCCTCAACTCTATTTTTCTGCCAGTTTATTACAGTCCTTCAACCCATTACTATTAAAAATCTGTCCATCTCCTCCTTAATATTTCAGTTCACAATTAATGCAACGTGGTATTCACTAATTATCAAGTGATCTAGGCTTGGGAGAGTGGCTATTTCCCATCAGTACTTTATTGAATCAGATTGTTCTTTGATCTGCTGAAATTGGGAAGAGAAAGTATTTTTCCTTCAAAGCTATTCCATTATCTTGTGAAAATTATGGAGCAGACTTTCCCAGTCCATTAGCTACCTGACAAAATGAGACAGCAGAAGTTGTAAGCATTGTTGACTTAAAATGCAATGAAAAGCGCATAAAGAAGAATCTTTTTTAAAAAATGTGAAGATAAACATGTGAATTTACTCAATATCCATCGATTTGTTCTGCAATTGCTTAAATACATGCCTTTGGTTATGAAAGTTGTATTAGAAAACTAAGGGTAACAATCAAACTAAAAGAAGTCACTTTATCACTATGAAATTAATTTTAAAAAAATTCAAAAGATTTATAAAAGCTGTTGGAAAATATGCTTAGGTAAATGGTTCTTTCAAAGAGAGAGTATTGGCATATGGAGTTCAATGCCTTCCAACTGTACAGTTAAAATGTACAATTCCATCGTCTCTCTCCACACAGCATATTCTCTCTCTGAGGTAACAAGGTATAGAGCTGGATGAACGCAGCAGGCCAAGGAACATCATAGGAGCAGGAAGGCTGACGTTTCGGGCCTAGAACTTTCATAAAAGGGTCTAGGCCCGAAATTTTTTTTTTTTTTTTTTTTTTTTTTTTTTTTTTTTTTTT